CTCAAACAGACCGAAAGTAGTCGTGATAGCGGTTTTTTCGATACCTTTAAGGGCGACTGGTATTTGGAGATATGCTCGTACCAGATCGATCTTAGAAAATGTAGTCATGCACTTGAGCGATGCCGTGATGTCGAGTATGTGGGGGATGGGGTAGCTATCAAAGCGCGTAACTACGTTTAATGCTCGGTAGTCGCCGCATGGTCTCCAACCAACCCCATCCTTTTTGCGCATCATGTGTAGAAGAGAGGCCCAAGGCAACATATGTGAGAACAAATAATTGATATCTCAACTAGTCAGCTGTTTGGAAGGGATGAAGTACATTCGGAAAGTTTCCTAGACATAAACGTCTCTCAACCACTTATAATTCAATTTTGCTGAAATGTATGCTTTATCTCTTTATTTAGCGGAAAAGCCTATGTATGTGATGTAGTTACAGCGAATGTGAATTCAAATGAAGACATTTACTTGTTACTTTGTCAAGGTGACATCACGTACGTTTCATCAACGAAGAATCTTTCATCAACAGCCTCCAAAACAGAATCTGGTAGTTAGTTGACAGATATATCCACTGTTCTTGAGGGGAGAAATCGGTAAAACAACGGAGGCTGTACTACACCAATTGAATGAACACTTAAAATGATACTCAATGACTTTTGCATTTTAGCACTCGTGATTCGCTAGACTGAATGAAAAGCCCATCGTAGCAATAAGCAAATCAGTTGTAACAATTCAGACAACCTTGCAGTAAGCTTGAGACTAATTAGGCTAAACTCATTAAAGTCATTTCAATCTCAATCACAAAGGCCACTAATGAGTAAGGCGAATGTGTTTGAACATCACACCGATTTCTCAATGTCAGAGTACCAAATGTTGAAGTTCAGTTTTCGGATGGAGACATCAATCTGGATGAGGAACAGCCTACCTAATTGGACATCCAGTTTTGATGATACCTAAAGTTCCAGAGAGAAGGCTTGTTTTTTCACAAGCAAGTGTGAAACGGAACTATCTGGTTGAACCCATAACGTTCTAAGTTGATAGGTAATTGCATCTTGCTGAGAATATTGTTTAGTTCGCGAAGGAAGACAGACTATCAGTATGAGGATAAGGGTCGCCATCTAAACTTTCAGTTATCTTCATAGTATGGCACACTGGTGAATATTTTATTAAGTTTCGCTAATGTTTTCCAACAAACGACCATAGCTAGTGTAACGACCGAACTACCAGTATTCAGTGTTAATGCAGGACTGACGAACCGAAATGTATTCCAATAGGCCATACTACGCTCTTCTGTATAGCCCACTAAGCGTTTTTGAGACACTCGTATTAAACTATATCAAAACACAAACTCTGTGCTCAATTTAAACGCTTAGTGGGCTAAACAGAGGAGCGTAGTCTGGCCTATTGGTTCGTCATTCCTGCATTAACACCGAATACTGGTAGTTCGTTCGTTACAGTTCTCAAACGGTACAGCCCGTGCTATACAGTCAGAAGTTTAACGCAAAGTAGCGCGCTGAGAACCAACAAATATATTCCAAACAAATGGGATCAAATATCTATCTGCAGGGACTTCAGACATCCTCCCAAGCAGACAGTAGAAAGGTTAACGGTCACGCATTGAATCACGCCGTGACCTTGAGCTTAGTCAAACACGACCTTAGTGCCAATAGTCCGGCAACATGCAATAGAAAATTAGGCAACAAAAAGATAAGTCTTTAATCAAAATCACATAATAAAAGCTGAAACGAGATCTGAACAAAGGTTAAAATATATGACAGGGAGAAGAAACAAATAAATGAAAATACTGTTCAACAAAAAAGGCTGTGGAGGGATTTTCATCGTTCTCTTTTCGTTACAGCTTGGGCTAACAGACGAAAAATAACGAAAGAATACTCCGCATAACTTAAAAGTTGTTTGATATCAAGTCTTTTTATTAGTGGGAAGTGTTATCCTTTCGTGATTGTCACCTCCTCAAACTTTCGCTTTGCTCTTACGCAAAAGTACCCTGTTTTCAAAAAGAATTGTCCTGATCTTAGCCTTCTGTAGTTGACACTTATTTTTGAGTTTTATTCTGGTTAATAGTTACTGTGATGTTTGCTAAGACTATATGTAAGCGACATGGAATTTACTTTTTGTCACCTGTGTTATACAGTGTGACGAACGAAAAAGTTCATTTCATGAAACATGCACATGAATTAAAGCAACGGCATAGAACAGATCGAAAGTAGGTGTGTGATATCTACAACACGGGAGCTGAAGATCTGCACAATGATGTTGTTACTGTCCGGACAAATCTGCTGAAAAATTGTCAGTAACCCTGGAAAGAAGCAGCCCTAAAACGGATAGAAAAACAAGGATGCGCATTGATTTGAAGAAAAGGGTCTTCTAAAATATGAGTATTGATAGGATAAGCACCTACATTTGTGAGAATATTTTGAAACTCAACACCGCCATAAAATCGAGTGTGTTAAACACTCGCAGTAAACCCGTACATTCCAGCACAGACTCTTTGAATGTAGCTGTGGTCTCCGAAATATCTACTGTGGATGACGAAACCCCTTTAAACATGGATGAATACGAATGAAGATCACTGTCAGATATATTGAACAGTTCAGTTCTTGTAAAAAAATCAGCTAACATTTCGGCCGCTCGATCTGCTGACAAGATTGTCCGACAAGTCAAATTTTAGTACGGAAATACGGGATGCAATCCAACTACCGAACGGAAAGAACCAGATCTTCGATGCACTTGAAATCTTGGGAAGCCGACCAAGGTGATCATAATGATGACCATGATCCTTGAAGACAACTACGAACTTCCTCTCAGTCTTCAGAATTAAAAGACCAGGATGAACAAGAACCTCAAAAGATCAAAAATTGACTCACTAATAGGTACACGAATTACGAAATAACAAAATCATTAAAAACTTCGTGTAAATTTCATTATCACTACTGCAGTACATGATGTTCTGCTTACCAGTCACTTGCTTCATCCAGAATGGAATGTGGGTATACTATCTGAAACAGGAAAACTTGAAACATATGTGGGGCAGATATGAATCTCCGATGTTGCTTGTTAGCACATCGAGTGTATAGTCAAGAGTTTTTGAAAATCGATGAATCCGTGGGGTGCTCAGCAAGATTGTTTAACAACTCGAGACTTCCAGTCGGAGTCATCTATAGGAAGCCTAATGCTAACATCTAGAAAGACAGTCACATGTTGGAGGGATCGCCCCGCATTATTCTACTTGAATACATTCATATCTTGGTTCCAGTAGACGTCAATCATTGAAACATCGCGCTAACAGCATGCGTCGCCGGTAGCATTCCATCAATATTACTACTGTAATTAGGAATTTGATCTATGTGGGTCGACTTCTGACATACTTGAGTCTCCAGTTTTCTTGTGTTGGTTTTGGTCATTAATACATCTGAGAATAGCAGATCTTGTTCGATTCTTATTCCACTGTTAACTTGATATCATCACTGCTCCTGCGATAAGTCCTGACATCAGTGATCACCATATTCTGCCAACAAGTGTTAGATTCAGACCTACAACCAACCAACAATGGGATGGAGAATAGCCAAGGAAATTGGAAGAAAAATGTGGAGATCTTGGATAGAGATCATTCTAAATACACTAGGGAATTTTTAGAAGCTTGGCACTCAGGTCGATTAGAAGAGCGATTAAAGCTCCACGACAAAACGATCCATCTCAAAGAACAAAATTCCATCAAAATTATCCACCTCAGCTACAAATCTTCTTCACCACCTCAGAGCAAACTTTCCTTTACCCCGACGACAGAATGTCTCTGTAGTGTTCCCTGGAATTCAGTGATATCATCGGTAATAATTTGTTTCCAGATAACAATCTTACTGAGACCTCTTCTTTTTAAACTTATACAGAAGACCTTCCTCAGATGGGACCGTCTGATTTTTTACTTTTTGTTATTAACGTTAAGCTTTGGAGAAAATTTAGCAACTAGGATGACAAGCTGTCAATTTAGGAGGATTTGATTTGACTTTAAAGTTGTGCATATGACAACGGACTCATTTTCAACACTTCAAAGTGTCAAGTAGTCCATTTGACCAACGGTACAACTTACGTAACTCTCCTCCAATGGAATCCCAAGTTGAAAAACATATGTGTGTTGGTATAATAATTCCTATAAAATGCAGTCCGAGCAAACCTTGAGCCGATAACGTTGACGCCCACTTTCGGATAGTTTGACAGCAGAAAGTTCCACCCAACCTTTGACAATTTTATTCAACCCCATTTAGATTATGGAAATATAGAGTTTCCTTTCTCATCCCAAAAACATAAGAATACATTGGAACGTACCTGGAGGCCAGTCAGGAAATCAATTTGTGAACTCAAATCCAAGCCATACAAAGGGCGTCTGAGATAAAAAAATCTCTACCTATTGGAGTATAGGCGTTTCACAGGTGACATTTTAATGACTCCTAGTTTCCAAAACTCCCTTAGGCATCCAACACTTACATAAGCTCAGTCCCAAACCTTTGAGTTTACACCCAGAAATGGAGATACAACATAGGAGAATGAGCTGTGGCCAGCCCTACAACTTAAGAGTCGAGAACTCTTGAAATATAACCCTTGAGGCGGTGGAAGCGACTATTCAGGAATATTTTGAGAGGAAACTCGATATACTATAAGGACTCTGTGCAGAACTTCACGATAATTTACCAATATCTCTCCTTTAAACGTCCAATGTACTTAGGTTCCTGACATAAATTGCTGCTAGACACGGAAGCCCGTTAAGTAAAAGCTTTTTTAATCCGTCCACAATCATTTGAATCGTCTCCTGATATTTTTCGTGAGACGCCAAACACGCTAAGTTCAAACAGTTCTCAAAATTTGATTTCACTTACTTTTAGAACAAAACATAACGAACATTTTATGCCTATTCAGTTTAATACACCATTCCGTTGCGTACAAATGAATATTATCCCTCACATGTGATTGCTGGTTGAATGACCTGTGCGGTCGCACTGTTGAAAAAGCACGTTTGTGATGTTTGACCTTGAGAATTACCAATCTTAACATTCCGGGAGTATTATTGACTAGTTGGTATGTCTGCTCTTTTAGAGGATATTTTCGACGTAAAAGATGTTGATAAAGATGGAAAAAAGTTTGACAAAGTATCAAGATTGTTTTGTGAAAGTGAATCATTCAAGATGGGATTGATTTTGGATATTCATGCCTTAATATATGGTCTTTCAAAGGGTGACAAGTTTCGAATGGTGCTTACAAAAACGTTGTTGAATGAACTGGGGACGGATGCTGATGACGATGATGAAGACGATGCAGCAGATGAAACTGACGAGAAGCTAGCGAACAGCAAGATGGCGGAGTTCGATTATGTTTGTTACGGGAAGATTTATCGGATAGAAACCCAAGATAGTGGAGTTGACGCAAGTAGATTGTCATGTTATGTATCTTTTGGTGGATTGCTCATGCAACTAACAGGAGATGCTAGTAATTTGCAAGGTTTCCGAGTCGGAAAACATTTGTATTTAATGATAAAGAAGTTGGCATTTTGAATTCATGGTTGTCTTTTTTATATGTAGATAAGCCATCAAGTCTCTCATCCTTAGGAAAAACAATCGGAATCCTAGTATTTATATCCCAAAACTTCTGCCGTATTTTTCAACTGTGCTTGAATTTGAGTTATTTATTAGCTGTTGTGTTGTTGTAATCCAATCCAACCTGACAGTCGAGACTAAAATGTCACATGCTGACTAGTTTAGCTATTTTGTTATAATCGGGCACATAACTAGACCTCAATTTCCACTAAACAAACTACTACATATCCTCTCGATTCGAGACGATCATGTTTAAGTGTTCATGCAGTGATAAAGCGAACTGAGACGGTGAATATGAGTCTTGAGCGATAATGTTCCCAATATATAAAACAAAACGTCATGTTACCACACTTATTGTTACCCAGTCATTTGTCCTCCCAAACACATTACCGTTACTCAATGAGCTTAGTTTCCGTTCAAACTAATAACAAAACAAAGACTTCGTCAAGTCGACGCTGCTGACAGTGCTTGTCTAATGAGCTAAATGGCATAATTGCAGAAACTTCGTTGATGTTTTGGACAACACCAGAATCTGCTTTATACATAGACGCAGTCCCCGCAAAACCGATATCCTTTAACTCCATGATACACCACTTTTATCCTAGTCAATATCCAAAGAGCTAAATTACAAATCAAGCCTGACTTTCAGATGGTATCACTACTTTAATCTTGTTTAGTAGCGCTAACTTAGGTTAGGTGCTTCTTTTTTTGGTCGTCTCACCAGCAACATTGTTACAAGTTAATATCGAAAGTTTAGCTTCAAGTAAAGTAAAGACTGCAACCTCAGATTAAAGTGCAAAATTTAGCGTGCTTTATCAACATGTACTAATAGTTTTGCGATGAAAATTGTAGTTCTACATTAACGTCCTTTACCACAGTTCATGTGGATGTGAACTCTAATTTTCAAACGGAATATCACTTCTCTAGATACTGTTCACACATTTTAATGATTTTCAATAGGTGCAAAGCCCAAGAACTGGAGACTGCAAATTACCAAGCACCTAATTGTAATTTCGTATTATATGATAGTTACAGGGAACTTGGTCGATAAAATCTGGTTATTACCCAACCAGGTGGTTTAATATATTGGCCGGTTATTATTTACGGTTCTTACCACTAGATGAAAAGGTTAGTTGATAACGATTAAATCGATGCAGAGTAAGTTGATTATGTGTTTACTAGGTTAATTCGGAAACTTTCTACAACTTGAAGGAACTAGCGACACCCCTTGCTTCAAGATTTTGTGGTATTTTAATAATTTCACATCATGAAAAAATTGTTTGCATCTATATGTTCGAAAAGAAACCCCTCAAATACAAATTTGTATATTCGGCTTTGAACCTTAATGCATATGACGGTTAGTAATGCTACCCAGCCGTCCAGACCGGAGTGAAAGTCGAATTTGTTGCATAATGGTTAAAAGTCGCACGTCTTGTCCACTAAGCCATCGCTGTAATAAGAAAATGTATTGCACTATGAACACAAAGATGCAAGTTTTGTCTACTCATGCGAGAGATTTGCGGAATATAAGACAGTCTTCAACTGCTCTTGTAGAGTTGTGTTCTGTATAGTTGCTGGAACTAGGGACATTCAAACAACACTTCGTCGGGCATTTGATGAGCCGTCAGGCCTTATGAAGGTAGAGCTTGCAGTTGGTTCAATACCTTGAGCGAGACTCTCTTTGTGTGAGTTCAAGTGATTGAAATGAGTACCAAAAAACAGCCCTCTCACGTTAGCCTTCATAGTTCTGAAGATTACTCATAGTTAATTTGGTCAGTACTCCAACTTATGTGATACTTAATCATTCGGCAGTGGTATTGCTCTTCACATATGACCCAACTAATAGATAACTTAGAAAATGATTCGCTTTCACGTGATGGTTCCTTCTAGAAAGATTCTGATAAGTATTTCTGTAGAAAAATGTTATCTCAACCCTAACAATGAATGTAGGCTAAGAGACGAAGTACCGATCAGTAAAGTTATACACTTTATGACCTTTACAGTCTTTAATTTCCAAAGCAAAACGTATAGACAAATAGAAACAGCGATGAAACCATCATCTCAAATGTGACAAACGTGATTATAAATAGTTGGGAATGCCACATAACATACGAGCACATTTAGTTCCAAGTGTTCTAGACATGTGTAAAGGACCAAATGCTTAAAATAAAATTTGGATATTAATATTGACAGGAATTACACACTTACAGCGATGGTTAGGTTTAAAGTTCCTCCATTATATTTTGAATAAACTAGGTTCATTTAAGAAGTGTAAACAAGAAGTAAACTAATCAAGGTAAATAAGGGGTACATTAACCTGATAAAACTGCCTTAGGGAGAATCAGTAAGTAATTGCAACAATGGTAAGCATGATAACAGCTAATCTACTTAGGATGCCCAATGATGTAGAACTGAAGTTACAATTTGGAGAAACAATGCCACTGTTCTAGAAGTAATTAGTTTTTGCTTGTGAATGTCGTACACAGGTCCCTTTAAGTAACAAATGGTCATTCATCATCAACGTAGAGCTTGGCACAGACGTACACTGTCCGAAGTTGCCATACCCCATTAGTAAGATAAGATAAAATTATAAAGATGTTAACCAAAGTAGCAAAAGTATCAGCGATGGTAAGAAGAAATAATGTATAGAGAATATAACTGTAGAATAAGAAATTAGTCAGCGGAATAAAAGAATTCCAAAACTAAGTATGTAAGGAAAGACAAAGAGTGGATGTATCTACGCCTTTTCACTCAGCATCCATAACTACTAGTTACAATAACCGCGTAGATACCAACTATGCCGCAACATAACTCAATTCCTTAGTCAATTATCCCTCAAAATAGGGTTTAATGAAAACCACATCTACGTAACACCAAGCCTCACGGCAAGTCTGTCACGCAACGTTAACGAGCACCCGAGGAATAGTTTCTCCGGATCACTACCATTTACTGTGATGTAAAATGTGGTTGATTTAACCGTGAAGTAGCAAGTAGAATAGATTATTTTCCTGAATGCTCGCCAACTAGAGTGGTTGAAGCCAAAGTTGTGGATAGCTACTAACTTTAAATCATTCAGACAAAACAGGGACAAGCTGTATGGTGTAACAGTTACCACAATGTAGTGGACGTCCATATGTGTTTAGCTTGCATGTATTAATATAGTTCAGTTAGTCTTTGTAGTTCACTTTGTACATGTTCACAATTGGAGACGTTCGAGGCAAACTACTCAGGCAATCGGTGCCAAATTGATGTGGCAAAAGTAAAATATTTATGAAGATGTAGCTGTACATCAACAAAATTTGTTAAACGAAAAGCATCAAAAATACAATTTTTTTTAGCAGCATGTAATCAAAACAAACCATCTGAGAGATAAGTAGGAATTTGAAAAAACTACACATATCAATGACGAGATGTTAATGTCGAAAAAATTTGGAAGGCTGTGGAAACCAACTTTAACGGGTATTTGTTACTTATCAGAAATTCAAAAATAAATCCACAAGAAAGTGATTTAATACATCTGAAAATCATTTAAAACTCATTGTAAAGACAGTAAAATGAAGTAAAGTGGACATGTTTTTTTTTGAAAGGTGGTAAGAAATATCCAACATCATTTGTTGTGGTAGAATGAATAAAGGTTTAAACTCGGGATACAGAAAGTGATACTATAAAGGAAGTACTTGTGAGAATTCCTGCTACGAAACAACAAAGACATGTTTACAGCGTAGATAAATAGCCCGCAGTCTTTGTACACGAAACACCACTAAGGTTAACATTAGTAATCAAAACGTGCAGCCATGGAAAGACTTATTGTGATGAGAAGTACTTAAAATATAATTTCCACCACGAAATTTCTTGTACTTCTGTTCTGAGACAGGGTGTCGTTGTCAATACATAACCATCGGACTGGAAAGCAAGTTACTATTCACGAACCAAAAAAATAATTCCGATGCTCAGGCAAAGCATCCCAGCAAACCAATTCGCAGTCAGTTCTTCTTGGAAAATACACCTACCAAAAGCTGCCTGTACAGTTACGTGATACAAGTTTATGATGACTTACTGAAAACGCGAAATTCGACAGTGTGTTTGTTGCCAACACCGCAACACCTTTTTGACCAATGCTAAGTGCTGTGACAAGAGCCAGCCACATTATGACATTCAGAACAACAGCACCACCGTAGCTTAAAACGACGAGAAAGTTTTTATTTGCGTCTGGAAAACACGCCAGCAATTTGTTTAATATGTACCCCTCGCTCAATAACTTGCTATATAGACTGGTGCACGCTGCACAAAATCCAGACATAACTGCCAGCGGATATCCCATCTTATTAGAAATCATTTATCAGATGACACAGTAAATCATTTGAAGAAAATAGTCTACAAAGAGATATATTAGATAAATTCATTCATGATCAGAAACAATCAATAATAATATGGCCATTTGAAAGTTTAGACTGGTAAAAGTGAAAGAGTTTACCAATAACCTGAAGAACCAGCTATCTGATATAGCCACTATGTAAGTGATAATTTGTTTGATCCTGAAGAATTGCATATAGCGTTCCCTTCAGGAGGATTTAACAACATTGCTCTGCATGGTTGTAAACAGATAGCAGTGAATTTGTAAGCTTAATGATACACTTTCCGAATACGAGTCATCAAATTGAAAGATATTCCATTCAGTCGTATACAAATTGTGTAGAAACGTCGGTCTTCTTTGCATTCCAGAAGTGCCTGCCATTCCTAAGGAGTTTCTTTTCAGAATGGTTGCAACCTCTTGCGTTTTCAAGCCATCACCTTTTACCTACTCTGTCGATCTCTTACCCCAAACTGACTAATATTTGCTTGCATGTTTTTTCTGACTCCAATTCGCCTTTAAAATTTAACTTATTTTATACAACCGGCTTTTATAGTTACTGATCCACGCAAGTTTCTCAAATCTTAAAAGCAACTATTGTCGGAAAAATA